ATCATCATCATCATCATCATCATCATCATCATCATCATCATCATCATATTTGACAGCACACCTATTTTTCCATAAATTCCAACAAATAATGTTAGATAAAGTATGAATAAGTAATTTGTGTACCTCATTGTTTGTTTGCAGATTCCTCCAATATAATAGCTGGCTTCTCATATTTGTATTAACATGAACTGCTCCAACTGAAGATGCATGCTTTTTCCATATATAATTAGCAAAGTTGCTAGTAAGCAATATATGATTTATATCATCCTTGCCTTTGTTATAACAACAGTAACAATCAACTATATCCCTACCCAAACTCTGCAATGTCTCATTAGTAGGTAATTTGCCCTTTACAGCTCTCCAAATAAAGAAAGATATTTTAAATGGAATGTGTTTATGCCAAATAATATTATTAATAGGATCATGACTTCTTTTCTTTCTAATAACCTCCCAAGCTGAAGAAACAGTGAATTTACCAGTTTCATCTGGTAACCATATGGCAGTGTCTTCTTTTCCTTCATTATATTTGAATACAGTCTGAAGAATATTAGGAATAAATAAAGGAGGAACATGCTGTCTAATCAAACTCTCATTCCATTTACCATCTATCCAAAAATCAGCTAATCTACTGTTATTTAAGCTAAAAATATGATCACAGTGACTGGCTAGAGAGTCATTTTCTAACCAATTATCCCACCAAAAGCTGCAAGTTCCAGAATGAATACTCCATTTAATAAGAGATTCAACCTTGTGCCTATTTTTAGTTAAATATCTCCAAACAATAGAATCCCCAGAATTATATTTTTTTGCCACAGGATTGGCTCTTTGACAGTATTTAGCTTTTAAGAATTGACTTCACAAAGATTTTTTGGTTCTAAATTCCCACCACTGTTTGTATTGAAAAGTTGTACAAACATCTTCCAATTGCCTTACACCAATGCCTCCTTCATTAAAGGGATAAGCAAGATTTTCCCAAGAAGACCAATGATATTTATTCCTCTCCTTATCAGTACCCCAAAAGAAATCAGCAATAACCTTCTTAATACATTTTAGAGTAGTCTTAGGAGGAGAAATAGCTGCTAGAGTATGAACTGGAATAGATTGCAAAACATGTTTAACCAAAGTGGCTTTGCCCCCAAAGTTTAAAATCTTAGCTTGCCATCCTAAGACTCTTTTGATTACTTTTTCTACAACTCCTGAATAATAGATAATTTATTGCCTTCCTATATATAATGGACACCCTAGATAGTTGATAGGACTCTTCTTCCTATCTAAACCAGTAGCTCTTTCAATATTATCAATAATAACATGATTAGTGTTGGAAGTCACCATAAAGAAACTCTTTTCTTTATTCACTTGCTGACCAGATACCCCTTCATACTCTTCAATAGTCTTCATTATCAGGTGAAGAGAATTATTCTCAGTGGAAGTAAAAATAATTATGTCATCTGCAAAGATAAGATGATTTATTTGAGGTCCATTTCTTTCCATATGAAAACCTCTATACATTTGATTTTGGTAAAGAAGATTAAGTTGCCTTGAAAGAACTTCAGCCCCTAAAATAAATAGTGCTGGAGACAAGGGATCTCCTTGCATTAGTCCTTTCTTAGACTGAAAAAATCCATGTCTCTTACCATTGATAACCACAGAATACCAACTATTGCTCATAATCCTCCAAATTCTGTCTATAAACACTTCACTGAAGCCCATTTTCCTTAAAACTATACAAATATATGCCCAAGAAACTCTGTCATAAGCTTTAACCATATCAAGCTTGATAACCACATTACTTCCTTCTTTGGGTAATTTCATGCCATGGATAATTTCTTGAGCTAAAATTATATTCTCAGATATGCTCCTACCCTTGACAAAACCAGATTGATTATCTGATACCATAGAAGGTAAAACTGATGATAATCTATTACTCAGGATTTTTTGAAATGATCTTATTAATGAAGTTACTAAGGCTGATAGGTCTATAATCCTTTAATCTGTTAGGATGTTCCACTTTAGGTAATAAAACTAGGCAGGCATGAGACATATACCTAGGCATAATGTTACCAGTATAAAAAGACTTAATAACAGACATAAGATCATCTTTAATAATTTCAAAACACTCTTGATAAAATTTGCCTCCAAATCCATCAAGGCCAGGGGAAGAATTAGGATTCATACTCATAATAATCCTTTTCACTTCATCCTCTGTAAG